CGATCAGATTGTGGTAATAACGAACGCCATCCTGGCTAATGTAATTCGCGAATCCTGTTGGCAATATTCGTGGCCAGCTCACGGAAAATCTGTACGAGTCTAACTGTTCACGATCAAAAATAGAATAACTTTATTTTCATGTTATTTTATTTGGAATGCAACCCGATTAGACAGCTCCGAAAACAGTCTATTTTAACGTATCATACAAGACACTATTTGCATTCAAGTCCATTAGAATTTCCGCAATTACAAGCTGTCAACATTGTGCTCGAATCGGAGTAAAACTATGTTTCTATTGGTCCGCGTACATGTTTGAATTGTGTAGAATTATGTCAAGTATCGAAAGCAACATGGCCAAGGTGGTACTCGAAATTGCAACGTGGTTGCTCGAAACTCGCAGTTACATATTATATTTTTGATTAATTAAACTTCTCGTCCGATACAATTCGGGAAACTCCTCTAATAATTCTAGTACACAATGGCAAAATTGTCGAGCAACGTTTGATGTGAACGCATGCATCGCCCTTCTGTATCTCGCAATATAAATTCATGAAACATAACGTAGTTTATTTACCCCGAGTTGCTTTAGTAAGGCTACGTCTTCCTTGTACTTGTAATAAGAATCCGTGGCGACGTCACCTGTGACATTGGCGACAATACGGCCATCGTATCGATGACTGAATCGATCCCAAACACTTTCTCCTTTATCTGCATGTTTAAGATGGAGGAAAACGCTATAAAAGTTTTTCAGTTTGAAAAGGGAAAATTAAAATTTGAGACACCTACCGCTAACATTCCAAGCTCCTTCTATTTGGTATGCGGATGTCGCTGCTCCCAAGGTAAAATTCGTTGGAAATCTTAGATATTTATCGCTCTCCGAATCAAGAGTACCATTTGCACGGCTAGAAAAACCAAATTCAGAGTTTATTACGGATCGAAAGATGAATCTTTTAGTGTAAAATCGATATTATTCGTCAAATTTCTGATAAAAAAAAAATAGAATTAATATATTAATTGTATAAACACTCACAGTACAACGAAAAGAAGAATACACGACAGCCTGATGAACATGTTTCATGAAATACCAGAAATGCAATCATCGAAGTTTCTTATATATCATTTACATGTATGTTTCATACATGGAAACATTGGTCAATGTTTTTAAAACATTATTTTGTATTGACACGGACATACGTACGTACATACGATAATTTTAATATCCACTATTAGTTAACCAATTAAAGAGGATTTATCGCCACAGAATCCTGACCTCCAGACCTGACCAGAATAATGACCTCCAAAACAATATTCACACTATTAATTATTTTAAATGTTTACTGTGTTTTCGAATATCACGTTCGTTTTGTTGATAAACTGTCAGCCTAGTGTATTAATGCGTCGCCAAGGCTTCCCCACCAATCATCTTTTATCGTCCGATTAAAATGATATCCGTCTCCTATAGTACATACACATGCGCGTAAGATGGTAAATTCCAGTGAATGTAACCCTATGATGCCAACAACAGTGATCTTTCTCGTTTCGAGATAACATTGCATTTTTTCAAACAGTTTTAATTTGCCGAATCAACTGAATACTATAAATTGGTTCGGGTTAATATTTTGCAACGGGTCGCTCCGAGTTTGTGTTACAAACATGACGATAAACTCATGAATTAGCTACACCAAAATATATTCCATTCACTAATTACATTCATATTTTATCTATTATTATTCGTTATAATTTTAATAATCGATTAATTTATCGGAATAATACTGCGCTAATTCTGTACACGTTATGAAGGAAAACTTATAACTATGTAATATGTGAATATTGTGTCGTTTACATCATAATAAGTGAAGTTTTTAAATAAATTCACATTTTAAGATTTTACACACTTTATAATAATAGACATTCTTACACATCTGAGGTTACAAATAAATTACATACATATCTCGTGAACGAATGAATCAGTACAGATAGACGTTTGTCGGTCATGATCCGCGTTAAGTAATACTGAAACAGTTGCGACGCCCGCGCAGAGTACAAACTTTATTTATAGTAATTATTATGTTACTATCGATGATTTTCTTTTTTCGAAAAACCATATGTACGAGTATCCGAATAATCTCTATCGTGACAAGTATCGATGATAATTCACCATCTAGGGTCTCCGAGTAGGTCTTCAAATGGATCCTTGAGTGGGTGTTGGAGTGGATCTTGGAGTGAAAAGCGGAATTTCAGGTCTTGGAGTCGTTGGAACAATTATTGATAATGGAAGTTTTCTTTCAGCTGTAACTTGCTGCCACCATAAAGCAGATTGCTTCAAGGTCCGTGTCCTGTTTTGATCCGAGAAATCGACAGACACGATTCCGAAACGTTCGCTGCAAATTCGAGTATTAATATTAACTAATCAATTCGATATTTGAAGTGTACCGAAGTCTAACAACTGTCTTAATTACCTATATCCCCGTTGCCACTCAAAGTTGTCAAGAAGCGACCATAGATAGTACCCTTTCACGTTAACGCCATCGACGTACATGGCCAAAAGCATCTGCTCCAAATAATCGCGATAGTACTGAATTCTTTCCCAATCATGGTTGGTTCCAGTATCAGAGTAACCATTTTCAGTTATGTAGATTGGTGGATTTCCATATTTCGTTGCTAAATGACGAAGCAGGTATCGGAAACCCTCGGGTGCAACCTATCCAACACAAAAAAGAATGTAGAATGTTCTATAGCTGGCAAATTGTATCCAAGAAGATAAATAATTCTCGTGACATTTACTCTTAACCAGTCGGAAGCTGTCTTGGCCCAAGAAGGTTTATAGGATGCTACAAGACCCGCGTCGTTTTCATAAGATGGTACTGAACCTGATTCACCGGGTTCCATTAATTTCGAGGTGTAATGATTTACCGCTAGAAAGTCTGAGGCTCCCCTAACGAGAGAACGACAACAATCAATTAAGAAACTCTCGATTACTGCATTATCCAAATAAAAATGTGCCCGATTCTCCTCTATATGTCTCAAGAGCGCCCACATATGCTGTTTCTAACGTTGTTGTACTAATAAAATTTACTAAAAAACACTCTTACTCCAGTTTACCAAAGAAATTCTTACACTGCTAAACGAAAAGACGAGTGAAGAATACCTTATGTAGTCGATCCACTCGGGCTCGAACTCTGGCAAACGAGATCTCGCGTAACCCTGCTGCTTGCTCTTGGCGGCAATCATTTCCTTCATGATTTCCGGGTAGTCACCATTCTTGGCATAGATAGGATGCAAAGTCCAACCAGCAACGAATTCGAAACCGACCACCGCTGACAGTATGTCACTTGAATTCTTTGGTATGGGAGTGGGCAAATTGTACATGAATCCGACCTCGCCGTGCTGCGTTGGTTTGAACTCCTTTTCGTATATTCGGTAAGCTCTCGCGTGGGCTTTGATCGAGTTGTGGATGCAAAGATACTCGCCAATACCGTGTAGCTTCTTTCCAGGTGCGTTCACCCCGGTCGAGTAACCATCTATGCATACGGAGTGGGCTTCGTTTATCGGGATGAACCGCTTCACCTTATCTCCGTACTCTCTGTACAAGATTCTGGC